AGGGCTTCACCTCATCATACCTATGTGATCTTTGGCAACCCTATCTTCCTCTACTCAGCAAACATCGGCCTGCTTTGCTCCTGTCCCATCTCCACCCAATCCAACCTGCCTTCAGTGCTTTAAAGCATATTGCTTCCTTCTGATCTCTAGAACCCTATTCCAGAGTTCCACAGCCGCAACGCCTCCCTTCCCACCTTCAAAATGGGTCTTAAGACCTATCTCTTTGACTGTGTTTTCAGCTACCCCCCAAGCTCCCAGTCTCATCTGTGTAAAGTGGTTTGAGAAATCCTCCCAATAGGAAATGTACCATATAAATGTAAATACAATGCAATTTTGCGATTTTGCCTATCCTGAAAGCTGGCAAAGGCTAACAAAAGGCCGGTATTCAACCTTTTGCCTTGATGTTTCAGCGGGTTTCTTGGAAGGTATTTTAGATTTGAAAGACAGCATTTTTGTTCATGAATCTCAAGATTGGGAGTTATCCCACAAATGTGGTTTGCGAATAGGTGTCAGCCTGACTCAGGTGGTAGCAGTCTTGTCTACGAGACAGAAGGTTTTGAGTTCAAGACCATGTCAGGCTCATAGTCTAGGCTGATGCTCCAGTGCAATGCTGGGGCTATTGCCAAATAAAATTTACTTCATGCCAGTTCAGCTCCATGAAGCAACTTATGCCAGCTTAAAGACATTCTCTTAATGTGAAAGGTGCAATGTCAATTTAAATGGAATTCACAGCTTTGAGATTAAAAAAAAATCCATATCCTGAACCTGGCAAAGGCCAAACAAGGCCAATTTCGTCAGCAGATGTCGGACATTTCCCAGCTGATTCCTGAGCATACACTCAGCAAGACAATGTTCCAAAGCAGGAAACATTTCTCAGAGCCAACAATCCCTCCCCCACCTAAAACTGATCATTCACTTCATACCAGTTCAGCTCCCTGCTATTCCCCCAAAGAGGATAGCCTTTGATCATTTGACATCTGTTATTAAAAAAAAATTGGTCACTGAATCCATGACTGTTTGTGGAACATTGCTATGTGCAACTGGCTGCTATGTTTCACCCACAAAATATGCACAAAATAGTCAATTTACTTTACAGTATATTCTGTGAAGCGCTTTGAGACGTCTTGAAGACGTGATAAGGCGCTATATCAAATGCAAGGATTATTATTATTTATATATCTGATAAGCACAAGCTTGAAACCTCATTAACTGCATGACAGATACAAGGAACTCCCTGCAAGCTTCCTGATGGGCAACACAGCTCAGTGTGAAATGGGTGAGAGGATTGCCACTATCTTCCTGCCCACAGCTCAGTCAGGCATCCCTTCCCATTGAGTGATGGTTGGAAGTGTGAAGCTTGAGCAACATCTGCATCCCTCTCTGCAAACCAAACAAGGTGGATTCTAAACACTGGGTGTACAAACAGTCCAAGTCCAGTGCCGGGTCCTAGATTTATGCAACACCAGCTGGTTAATCCAGGTCCTCATGTGAGGGATTTTGGCAAATAGACGTGTCCGCGGTGAAGCTACCTCCATTTCCAGGATGCTCAGCGACAGGTCAGTGTAGGCTACAGCCCTCCCTTCCTGCAGTCGCTTTTCCCGTTTATCACAAATCCACCTCACTACTTGATCCTGAACATCACAAATGGGCCGGAGGAAGCTTCTCTGTTGTAACCCCAGGAGTTTAGAATCGTAAAGGAGAATTGTCTGGACACAAACAATCTTATATGTCACAATCTTAGTCTGCATTGGGACCCTGCTTAGCTTTAAGAGATACTGTGGGGTCCTGTAGCTCAGTGGTTGAGCACTCGCTTTGCAAGCGAGAGACCTGGGTTCGATTCCCGGCAGGGTGAAACCTTGGGCTAGTTTCCTTATTCCACACGCCTGATAATAATCCCTCAAAAACAATAATAAATTGGTCATTTCAATCCACGACTGTTTGTGGGACACTGCTGTGTGCTGCTGGCTGCTGCATTTCACCCACAAATATGCAGTCAATTCACTTTACAGTCTATTCTGTGAAGCGCTTTGAGATGTCTAGAAGATGTGAAAAGCGCTATATCAAATGTAAGTTTCTATAGTTCTACGATCAAGGTGGGTCTGTCCTATAATTGGTTAATCAAACACAAGGCTAGAATTGCTTTTGATCACAAGTAAAAACGTACAGGTTGTTTGAAGTTTGTTTTGAACACTGTATATAATTATAGTTATTTTTATCTTGGAATATATTAGCTTTGCTCCAAAGAGCTTATGAAAGAGTGTATGGGAAGATTGCAAAGCATAGATCTAGAAATTACAAAACAACAATTTATTTAATTCCTTCTTGCTTGTGAATGTGATTGCGACTCTGGCAATATTGATCACTGTGGACATGTCCTAGTCAACGCAATGAATCATCACATAACCCCTTCCAGTAGTTCATTGTGTAAATAAAAATCTGTTCCAGTGTCTGTCCCGGAATTATTCCGCACAAACCTGAACCACTGCCCTCTTGTATTGCTGCCTTGACATAAAACTCGCAAACTTGCATTAAAAAGTTCCAACTACTTTAAAATAGTTTGCTGAAAACTTCTGTGTAACTTTATGCCCCTTCGGGTTTGAGAGTTAAACTGTGCCACCTCCACTTGTGCAGATATAATCTATTCCCAGTTCTGGGTAGAAATTATTATAATAATTCTTGCATTTGATTTTATATCTTATCATGTAATTGACACATCTCAAAGCACTTCACAGAATATATTGTAAAGTGGATTGATTGTATATTTTGTGGCAGCCAATTGCAGTGTCCCACAAACAGTCATGGATTGAGTGACCAAATTATCATTTTTTTTGAAGGGATTATTACCTCTGGAAAGCAATCCACCAATCAATTAACAACCAGGTTCCTACTTGCTGCTAGGTAAACAGAGCATGTGGAAATAGGAAACTTGTCGAAGGTTTCGCTCTGCCCGGGAATTGAACCTGGGTCCTCTCGCTTGTGAGGCGAGTGCTCTAACCACTATAGGACTCCATGGTACACAAACATTGAAGCTGAATTCACAAACATTGAAAACGTTAATGCTGAGTTAATTTTTATTTTAACGCCAATTCAGGCACGTTCAAATATTCTTGGGAAGACTTATATTTTCCCTAGAACATACAGTAATTGGGAAATGGTGTAGAGCATCACAGCTAGCAGTAATTAGGAACCCCTTTTCTAGTTGATTGGTTGGGATAATAATCACTTTCTCCTCAACAACCCCCAACCCCTGCAAAAAAAAATTGGTCACTCAATACTCGACTGATTGAGGGACACTGCTGAGTGCAATTGGCTGTTGTGTTTCGCCCGCAAAATGACACAGTCACATTTGAGAAGACAGCCTGTGAGAAATGAGCATCGCACTGGCACAGAGAGGTTGAACTCATCTGCAAGTCCCCGTGGTCATCTAAAGTAAAGCAAGAGCCAGGTCTTTTCTGGCAGGGTTTATATTTGCCTGATGTTTACTTTCTCAATGTCAAATTCCACATGTTGAACGAACCCCAGCCTGCACCCGGACAGCTCCGTTCAGCATGCTTCAAAACACAATGTTATCTTTTATTGTGTTACCGTTTCACAGTTGAGCTTTGCAGAGAGCTATGAAAACTAATAAAACTAATAATCCTTTCATTTCACGTGATGACAGTAATGACCAAATGTTTGAAAGACTAAAATATAAATATAATGCCTTTCACATCCAGAAGATGTCACAAAGCACTTCAGAAGGATTTACTGTGAACTGGAGTGACTGGGCATTTTGTACAACAACAACTTGGATTTATATAGGGTCCTCCACACCAGACGGCATCTCAGAGCGCTTCACAGTAACGGATCCTGGGGCTGAGCCAGGGGGAGGGGGAGGAAGGTGTCCAAAGGCGCAGTCAAAAAGAAAGGTCTTCAGCCGAGAGGCAAACACAACAGCCAATTTGCCCACAGCAACGCCCTACACCCAGCCATGAACTAAATCACCATTTTTTTCAGAGAGATTGTTGGGCAGGACATTAGGAAAACTCTGTACTCCTTGGGATCTTTAATATACACCTAATAAACAGATAGTTTGAGAGACCGAGAGAAAGAAACACACGTTGTATTGTCGGTTATGTAATTCTTCAGATGAGACATTAAACTAATTGGATGGGGAAATGGACAGAGTTTAGCCAACAATCCCCCTGGATGAAATTGGTCATTCATTTGATAGGTGGAAAATTGTCATGTGCAAATTGTCTGACATGAAATACTCGCAGTAATACCACTTTGTAGTACATCCTGTTTGAAATGTCTTGGCACCATGATAAGGCACTATATCAAATGCAAAGAATAATATTTATTATAGTCTGTGTTTGTGTGTCTCTCTCTGCCACTTTATTTATATGTTTGTCTCCTTTTATTTCTATTTATGTGTGTGTGCCCTTTTGCCCTCTGTCTATCTCAATCTGTTTTGTGTGTGCTTCAATTTTAGTCTCTAACTGTTTTTGTGTGTGTGTGCTCATTTTCCCTCTCTAACTATACGTGTAATTCTCTCTGCCTCTTTCACTATATCAGTGTTTCTCTCTTTGCCTTTCTGACCATATAGGGTGAATCAAAATTCCTCACTCGTAGCTCTATATGAGATGTTCAAATAGCAAGCAGTCTTGACATTTACACATATCGATTCAGGGACAAAAAACTTTCACAAACTCAATGTCTGACATCTCCTGTAATAGTTACACACTCCCTATGAATGTTGTCTTCAAAAAGAACATAATTACTAATTGAAAGTAATTATTCACTCAGGGGGGCAGTCGCATACCTGATAACCTCACGCCCATGAGTGCAGCTATAGATGTTTGACAACATCTCAGCACCACTTTGCTTTCATATGGGATCCCAATGCAGATAAGTGGACGTGTGGCTAATTGGCTTCGTTTACACTACATTCTGCTATATTTTTATGCCTGGAATTTCAATGTCTAAATCAATGCCTTTTTTATTCCCCTCTGTTTCAGTTTGTGTTGCAGTGTGGAAGAATCACCACATGCGAACGGTCACAAACTATTTCATAGTTAATTTGTCATTTGCGGATGTGCTTGTTACGATAATCTGCTTGCCTGCCAGCCTGGTGGTCGATATAACAGAGACATGGTTCTTTGGACAGATATTCTGTAAAGTCATCCCATACCTGCAGGTAAGAACTCAAGTCGCTTGTTTCAGGTTTGTGTGGCAGCAATAGCATCCGTTCCGCATATACACAATGGTTTAATGCTTTGCTCTCTGGTTTGTTTTTCTCTGTGTTTGACATAGAAAAATTAAATAAAAGAAGACAGAACAAGATACAGTCAAACTTGTATTCAACAACTTCTCAGGGAAGGCCAAAGTGACCTTTCTATAAGTGTGGCCTCTGAGTAAGGGCTCATAGGTGTCCGGACTGGGGTGTTTGGGCAGTTTCAGTATATATTTCCAGCATATACTGGAGGTGGCTGCTTGAACAAGTTTGCCTGTACGCCAATATGCCCCTAAAAATCAAAGGTTTCAAAAAGGAAGTAGACAGGTTTCTATGAAAGATAGTGGCTTGAAGGGATAAGGGATTAAGGCAGGTCATTGAAATTGAATGAACATCTTGCTTTGAGAGCTGGTGCAGATCTGATGGGCCAAATGGTCTCCTACTGGTTGTAAATTTCTATGATTCTAAGTTAATAGACCTATACAGTCTTTTCGGTCATTTAAAATTTCTCTGGGGGTGAGGGGGGTTGGATCATGGGTAGGGGAAAGAAAGGAAATATGCAGTATGTAATGTGATATTTATCACAAGGACAAAATATGTGGTTGTTTTTGAAACTGTTGGAACTGACAAAGTGGAGGAAATGACTTTGTAATTCTGAGACCCCTGGATTGACGCAATGTACTTTTGAATAGAAATTACGGTGAGTTGGCATATTTCCAGCTACTCTAAGAAGTCTCCGCTAGATTTCATTATTAAATAATTCCATTAAATATCACCACACTTTTAATCCAGATATAGGAACAATTACCTGCTGAAAAATAACCCGTCTTTTCACTCCTTTTTTGCCTATTCTTAAAGAGTCACTACACTTATAATAGTAGTAATAATAGCAATAATCCTTACTCTTGATACAGCACTTTTCAGGTCAGGAAGGGGTCTTAAGGTGATTTACAGAATATACAAAAGCAACACCAATTTGATTTATATAGCTCCCTTCACGCAGGTAGGGTCTTGGAGTGCTGAAAAGGTGGCAAAACGATTGTAGAGTGTAGTGAATGTGTATTTTGTAGGTGAATGCAGCAGTCAATTCGCACACAGCAATATCCTACGAACAGTCATGAAGTGATGACCAATTTTATCTGGGGGATTATTGGCCGCGATACCCAGGGAAAATTCCTATATTTGACATTAGTTACCAGTAAAGTACTTTGATTTGTTAAGAAGTAATAGAAATACTATTTTGCCTTTTGTTCGTTTGCCGGGTCATATATCAGTTTAGCTCTCTTACCTGAAGGATCTCTCTAGGAACAGAAATCAGGTTAGAAAGGAAATGATTAAAATGTAGCAATTCCCCCAAAACATGCTTATCTGCAAATTTGTGCTGAAACAGCTTCGAAAGTCTTTGTAGGGAGCATTTTCCAAATGAATTGTAATTCCTCACACTCACGTACCTTTTAACCTTATTCACCAGTCTTGAAGTGATGCGTGGTCTCAGCAGACATGACTCATGGAATCTGAATTGTTTCAGTCTAACCTTTGATACCTCTACAATCCAAGTATCTTAAAGTTCATTTCAATCATGTCTCTCAACATCCCTAATGATGCCACCTCTAAAGCTTTCTGGAGCAGAGCAATTCCACATCTTCACAACCCTCCTTCCCCCAGTATATTGTTTATTCTACAACAACAACAACTTTCATTATATAGCACCCTTCACATGGGGTAGCATTTTGGAGTGATTATTGGTGGCAGAATGCGACACCTAGCCAGGGAGAGAAGGGAGGTGACCAAAGACTCAGTCAAGAGGAATATCTTCACGTGTGATTTGAAGATGGGCAAGGAGGGAGCGAGTGGGAGGGATTGAGGCAGAGTGTCTCTGGGTATAGTGGCTGGAAGCATGGCTGCTAATGGGGGAGGGGAGAAGACAGAAGGCTAGAGAAAGCTGAGCAAAGGTAGAGGAGTGGGGAGTAAGCAGGTTGGAGAGATATGGAGGTGCCAGGGGATGAAGTGAAATGTGTATATTACTCTAAGACCTAAAATCATAAGACCATAAACATTTGCAGCACAGAAGAAGGCCATTCGGCCAATCAGGTCTACATTGTCTCTTTTACATTGTCTCTTTTAAGATCAATCCTCTCACTCCCATTTACCTGCCCTTTCCCCACATCCCTGTAGCTGATTCATCTTAAGGTATTTGTCTAGTTCCATCTCGAAGGCTAATATGGATTATGCCTCAACCACTGCAGCTGGCAGGATATTCTGTATCCTAACTGCCCTGTGCATAAAAAATTCTCCTGATTCTTCATTTGCTCTTTGTTAACTTTCCTAAATTGCTGCTCTCAAGTCTCTGACTCACAGATCAATGAAAATAATTTCTCCCTATTGACACTATCAAAACCCCTCATAATTTTAAAGATCTCTATCAGGTCACCCCTTAACCAGGGAAAAAAGTCCCAGTTCAAAAAATACTTGAATAAATAATTTGAATAATCGCTGAATCTTGTTCACTGGATCAATAATTAATTACAACTGACACAATAGAAATTACTACAAATTTTGTCTGATAAATTTTCTGATTTAGAAGTGAAGGAGAAAGATTTAAGTATGGATTCTTAATCATTCAATGAACTTTCCAATCAATGTGAACATACGAAAATGGAAATAAGAGGAGGCCATTCAGCCCATCCAGCCTGTTTTCCCAGTTTATTAGATCTTGGCAGATCTTTTCATTTCAATACCCCTTAATAATTATCTTTGCATTTGATATAGTGCTTTATCATGTTTTTGAGACATCAGAAAACGCTTCACCGGATTTATTGTAAAGTGTAGTGACTGTGTATTTGTAGGCGGACTAACTGGCCAATTTCAACACAGCATTGTCCCCACAAACAGTCATGAAGTAAATGATCGATTTTATCTGTAGAGTTGTTGGCCAGAACACCAGAAGAAACTTCCTTCTCTTTTTGAATTGATCTTCAATATCCACCTGAAAAAAACAGACAAAATCAAGTTTACTATCTCACTCGAAGGGTGGCAACTCTAACAATGCAGCACTACCCCAACATTGTCTTGAATTTTTAACCTAGACTGTGAGTTCAAAGTCCTGATGTGGTTGGATCCCACAGCTTTCTGGCTCAGGGTCAAGAGTGCTACTGACTAAAATAGGCTGACAATCGTAATACCATTATTACTCAAATATTTGTCTATCTCACATTTAAACATCCCTGTTGATTCTGCTTTCTCAGCTGCAGTCAACAAAGCAAAACAGATAAGGGAGAGAGGGAAAGAGCTGATCAGGGGGATTAATAAAAAAAGAAAATTTAGAAAAATAGGTGGGCATATGTACTGAAGTTATGTGCTGAACAATTATATATATATATATCTGTATTTCCTAAATGAAAATGCCAGGCTACAGAACTTATGATTAACTATATTGGTCACAGTTGAAGGATGAGGAGCCAATAAAGCCAGGCAAGGATGGGGCTGTTGGCCTGATGGAGCTTAGTGCAGGAGGAAGACAATCTGCCCTGTGGAGTTCTGGATTCAATTGTAGCTGACTGTCATAAAATATTAATAGATTTAATAAGTGAAATGCTGGAAGTCTGAAACAGGAGTGCTGCAAACCCACAACAAATCAGCCTTCAACTGAGAGATAAAAATACGCTGATGTTTCAGACATATCTCATTCTGATGGAGAGTCACAGCCATGACATTAATCTATCTCTTTGGATGAAGTTTGACATTTTCATGTTGAATATTATGCAACTGGATGTATTTAAACCGAAGGTAAATTAAACTCAAGCGCCAGATAAATTGCATCCGATGATCCTTAAGGAAAGTTGCAGGAGCTCTGGCACAAATATTTCAGAGATCACTAAATACTGAAGAGGTGCCTGGGGACTGGAGAAAGGTAGCAAAAAAAAGTGACCCAGGAAACTACAGACCAGTGAGTTTGACATCCATTGTAGGTAAAGTTATGGAGACTCTTATTAAAAATAAGATCATGGATCATCTGGACAGTAAGAAAATGATAAAAGAGACAGTATGGGTTCATGCAGGAGAGGTCTTGCTAATTAACTTACAATTTTTTTGATGGTTTCACAAGGGAGCTTGATAAGGGTAAGGCTATGGATGTTGTACATTAGGATTTCAGTAAGGCCTTTGATACAGTTCTTCTTGAGAGGCTAATACTCAAAGTAATGTAAGCAGGAATCAGAGGAAGTATCTTACAATGGATATGTAATTGATTGACCGATAGAACCCAGAGAGTGGCGATACAGGGAATGTGCTCAGGCTGAGAGCACGTTAGCCTGATCCACAGGGGTCTGTTTTGTGACCTCTTTTGTTTAATATCTTCATAAATGATCTAGTGCTAGGAGTCACAAGCACAGTGGCTAAATGTGCAGATGATACAAAACTAACAAAGGTTGTAGATTGCAAAGATGAACATGATAGATTACAGGAGGATTTGAACATATTTGGGAATTAAGCAGAAAAATACACAGCTTGATGCTGTGATGGGAGGACAGTAGGGTGGATGTTCTGGAAGGATGAGATCAGATTGGTCAAAGGGCCTTTTTCATCTGAACCGATCTTAGAAGCATAGAAATCTACAGTGCAGAAGGAAGCCAATTAAACCTGCACCAGCTCACAGACCAAGGAAATCGCTGTGATGATGTGAAGGTAATTTCATTGACATATTAATCATACCACACTATTAACTGGAATTGTCAACCAGTTGCGTTTATAGAAATTTAAACACAAGTTGAATAAACGTTTGTGTGCTTTCCCCTCCAGACTGTTTCGGTCTCTGTGTCTGTGCTGACACTCAGTTGTATTGCACTGGATCGCTGGTATGCTATATGCCACCCGCTGATGTTCAAAAGTACAGCCAAACGAGCAAGGAATAGCATCATCATTATATGGATCGTGTCCTGCGTGCTAATGACCCCCCAGGCAATCGTAATGGAATGCAGCATCATGGTGCCAGAGCTGGTGAACAAAACCATTCTATTCACTGTCTGTGACGAGCACTGGGGAGGTAAAGATATTAACTGCCTTTGATGTTCGATGCTGCTTATGTTCATTTTATACTCAACAATAACCAATACCAACAGCGTGCATTTATATAGCCCTTCATGTGAGGTGGCAGCTCAGAGCGCTTAACAATGGCACAGATTGATGCAGAGCCAGGGAGAATGGGGAGGTGACTATAGGCACGGTCGAAGAGAAAAGTGTTCAGGTGTGATCTGACAGGCAAAGAGGGGGTAAGCCGGAAGGATTGAGGCAGAGGTTTGGATCATATTGGCTGAAGGCATGGCCACTGATGATGGCGTGCAGGGTGTCAAGGGATGTACAGAAGGCCTGAGCCAGTTGAGTGAAGGGGTAGATAGAAGAGTTGGGTGTGAGCAGGTAGAGAGGTGCTTCAGGCATGAAATGATTTGTAGGTGAGCGTGTTCGCTTAAAGCAAAATTATATAACACAGAACCCTTTGTCAGACAGAAATGCTGATCATGTGCCCCATATCTGATCCTCATTTGCTGATTATGTGCTCAACCCTTGAGGCCATGTGATCCTTGTGCAGCCTGTGGCAGACCTTGTGTGCTTGTGTTCGTGCGGGTGTATTTGTGTGTGTGTGTTGGGTAAGTGGGGTTGGCCATTAAGTCTCTGAGCCACTAGCTGACAACAACAACGACGTTACATTTGTAAAGTGCTTTTCACGATGGGAGGACGTCCCAAGGCACTGGACAGACAGAGTTACGGACCCAAGCTGGGGGTCAGGGTAGGGGGGAAGCAGGGAAATTGAAGCACGGTCGAAGAGAGGGTCTTGAGATGGGTTTTGAAGGTGACAAGGGAGGGGGCGAGGCAGGGTGACTGCCGGATGGAGTTCCAGAGGGTGGGTGCAGAGTGGCAGAAGGCCCGCTCGCCAATAGTGGAGCGAGCAGGATGGTAGGGAAATAGGAAGTCACAGAGGTAGGGGGGAGCAAGACCGTGGAGGGCTTTGAAGGTGAGGACCAGGATCTTGAACTGTATCCCCTGTGTGATGGGAAGCCAGTGGAGTCAGGCAAGGATGGGGGTACCCCTAGTGCAGGAGAGGGTACAGGCTGCTGAGTTATAATAAGAATAATCGTTGCATTTGATATAGCGCTTTTCACGTTTTCTAGACGTCTCAAAGCGCTTCACAGAATAGACTGTAAAGTGAATTCTTTGTATATTTGTGGGCGAAATGCGGCAGCCAATTGCGCACAGCAGCGTCCCACAAACAGTCGTGGATTGAAATGAACAATTTTTTTTCTTTTAGGGATTATCATCAGGCGTGTGGAGTAAGGAAACTTGCCCAAGGTTTTACCCTGCCGGAAATCAAACCCATTGTTGTAAAACAATGCTTTAAACTAAAGCCCTATTAACAATTTTCAACGACTGAAATATCAAATATTTAATTATTAAACATTAAATAAAAAATAAATGATGTATTAGAAGAGAGCTTGCTGGGGGCACAGTAGAGGAGTCCCCAATACCTAGAGTTCTGGATGATCTGCAGCCTATGGAGGGAGGACAGTATGGCCAGAGTATCTGATTCCTGCCTTGCTTTTGCAAGAGTCCTCCTTGCTCAGAGAGGAGTTCTCTGAGGGCCCCTGACTTTCATGAGGCCCTCCGCAGCCAGTTATCTGATCGGGCCACTGTGACCAGCCTCTTAGGTCAACCTTCTCACTGGAGCCTGGTGCAGCTTGTGCGCCCTCGTGTGGTGATAATTAACTGCAACGTAAAAAGATTCTAAAAATTATTGAACAAACGCAAATTCATCCCAAAAACCGCTGTTATGGAAATATACTGTTAAAAAATAAATGGGATTTGCAGCAAAGTTGAAGGCTCGTTGTTTTCAAATTCACACTGACTGAGAGTGATCGATGGAGATTTATCTCAAACTGATGGCATGTGTGTGATTGTATCTCCTTTTCCGTTACAGACACTGTCTATCCCAAGGTTTATCATATCTGCTTTTTCATCGTTACGTACATGGGCCCCTTGTGTCTCATGATCCTGGCCTACTTCCAAATCTTCCGGAAGCTCTGGTGTCGGCAGGTAAGCCTGCGCTAATAAAGTCTACTCAATAGATTTTTGTTGGGTCAGGGTAGCAAGGGATATGGAGAAAAGACGGATGAGTGATGTTGAGATGCAGATCAGCCATGATCTAATAGAATGGCGGAACAGGCTCAAGGGGTTGAATGGTCTACTCCCTGTTCCTATGTTCCTACTGAAGGTGATGGATTTGCTGAGGCAACCATAAGACAACCATAGCTGTACACCATTGGGGCCCGATCATAGCACGATGCAGCTTTGAGGAGCCTCTCTCCCCCTACTCCTAAAATATAATAATAATAATTTGGTCACTCAATCCACCACTGTTTGTGGGACACTGTTGTGTGCAATTGGCTGCTGCGTTTCGGCTACAAATTTACAGTCGATTCACTTTACAGTATATCCTGTGAAGTACTTTGAGACATCTGGAAGACACGATAAGGCGATATATCAAATGCAAGGATTATTATTACCATTATTAATATAATCCTCTCAAACCCCCTCACTCTCACTGAGGGCTTCTGTCTCACAAGGCCTGCACTTTGCACTCCTCAACCAGCTGTGTAGTGGGGTCGCTACACAGCTGATTGTATTATAACCTCACGCACACCAAACCCCGTGCGCCTATCACCCAAATCCTCGCCAGTCTTGATTGATTCCAAATGGATCGACATCCAAGGTTCTAACTGTCATATAGAAATACCTTCAACCCCTAGTACATCCCTACCTCTCTGATCTGCTTTCCCCCCTCCACTCAGCTACTGCCCATCCCCTGCCCACTCCATGCCACCATGCCTCCCTTAACCTCTGGAACTCTCTCCTTCTATCCCTCTGCCTCCCCGCCTCTCTATCTATGCGTTTAAATCCCACTTTAAACCCTACATCTTACCTACCGCCCATGGTCATCTCCCACCTTACCCTGCCTTGGAGTCCGCCACTGTGCAGCGCTCTGAGATATTGCCCTGTGTGAATAAATACGAGCCGATGTTGACATGCTAGCGTTTAATAGTGGTTCTTCAACTCAAATTGCAGATCCCGGGAACGTCGTCGGTGGTGCAAAGAAAGTGGAAGCCTCTTGCCTTGCAGTGCTCATCACAAAGGGCTGCTGGCCTCCAGACCAAACCCAGAATAAACGCTGTTGCTGCAGAAATCAAACAGATCCGAGCCAGGCGGAAGACAGCACGCATGCTCATGGTGGTTCTGTTTTTCTTCGCAGTGTGCTACCTGCCGATAAGTATTCTGAATGTATTGAAAAGGTGAGCCTTGACTTGAGTTGAGCTAAAAGTACTTTGTCTATGCACCACCCAGTTTGGCGTTGTGCTCCATGACCTTGCCCCGCATAAGGGGCCCTATATAAATGCAAGTTGCTGTTAATTGCGCAAATAGGCTGCCCACAAAACACAGACAAAATGTAAACATGATCCTTATATTATCATTAAGGTTTTGTTCCTCTCTGAATCCTGACTGTGATAAGTAACATGCAGCGTAGTCACTACATATACAGTCAATTCACTTTACAGTAAATTCTGTGAAACGCTTTGAGACGACTCGAAGACCTGATAAGGCAGTATTTCAAATGCAAGGATTATTATTATTACATAGTGAAATGACACGGAAACAGGCCATTCGCCCCAACTACTCTGTGCTGTTTGTGCTCCACATGAACCCTTCATCTATATATTCCTCTATTTCTTTCTCCCTCATGTATGCAAGTAGGGAGTGAGGGAATGGAAAATGCCAAGCTCACACCTGAAATTGGGTGATGCTGCACCAAGTACACCAAGTATAAGAAATTCCACCCGGGCCTAGATTTATTTGTGTAGAATTTCAGATTGTGGCAGAATTTGGCAATTTGTTGAATCCAGCCGTAACTTTGAAGCCAGTATTCTGCAGTTTCTGAAAAGAAAGAAGAGTCTCCCCAAAAGTTTGTTTACCAAAGGATTGCAATCTTGTTGCAATCTTCATAGAATCATAGAAATTGATGGCACAGAAAGGGGCCATTGGTGTCTGCACCATCATAGAGCAAGGTGTTCATTCAATCCCATGACCCTACCTTATCCCCTTCAAGCCATTATCCTTCACATACCTGTCTACTTCCCTGCTGAAACCCACAATGGACCAACTTACTTGGCAGGGCATTTCACATGCCAACAACTCTTGAGTGAAAATCAATTCATCAAAGCTTTCCTTTTGCTCTTCTTGTGACTCTTTTATACCTCTGGGCTTCTAGTCACTGACTCCCCTACTATTGCAGAATTATTGCAAATTGTATGACTTTTCATCGGGCCTTTTCTCGACTGAGAGACAATTTAGTGGATAAACACTGGCCCTGGTCACAAAGCCGTGGTTACCTTGTTCCATGGAGTGAATGTGCTGATTTGAGGCGAGTACTATTCCTCTCCATTGGGTGAATATAGTGGCCAATAAGAACTTGCTCCCTTCACGTAGGATGTCCAACTCAAGGGAGCAAAGGGGCAGAATGAGGTTACTGCAGGTACAATTGGTGCTGTCAAAGAGGTAGATTTTAGGCAGGATTTAAAGATTGATGGGGTTGAGGAAGTGATGAATCAATAGAGGGAGGGAGTTCTGAGGGTTCTGGGTGTAGGTGTTGAAGTCACGGCCACCATTGTGGGGCGGATGGGGCGGAATAGTTGTCCAAAATGTACCAAAGGGAGGGGACAAGCAGAAGAGTGAGGTAGGAGAAGGTCACATAGATAGGGAGGAGCTAGGGCATGAAAATATTTATAAGTCGAAGTGAAGGCAGTAAATCCTATTCCATTCCATTCAAGGAGTTCGTTTGATTTGTTGCTGTGTGCTTTAAACAAACTTAATGCATCTTAGAGTATAACCTTAGAGTGTAAATTATATTAGATGTCTACATTAAATTACACCTTTAATAATGCTTCCAACACATGTTGTTGTCTAGAAGATGTGAAAAGCGCTATATCAAATGCAAGGATTATTATTATTGTCCCCACTCCTCAAACACTATAATAATTTTATAATCTAATAATTTTTGCATTGATTATACTCATGGACTGTGAGGCTGATTGCTCCGCTCTGCTAATTTATGGATTTGTCTGCACTGTGGATTATCCAAATTACATCTGACTTCTAGATCCTTGCATTCACCACTGAGAGGAAACTCAGTTCAACAGTCTCACCTGGACTGAAACCCATCAGTTCTGTAATGTTGAAAGTCCAGTGCTCCAACCCAACTGTGTCACCTTCTATGTGTATACTGTACAGTTAATGTTGATCAGACATAGTTTTCATGTGAAGGTAACTTTTAAAATGTATAGTAAAGCACGCTTCAAAATTAATTTCATGTGAAAACTGTATCTAATCAATATTAACTGTGCAGTATAAATATCGAAGGTGGCACAGTGGGGTTAGAGCATTCAACATCACAGGACTGACCAGGCAGGGCGAAACCTTAGGCATGTTTCCTTGCTCCATATGCTTCGGTTTACTTAATAGTAGGTAGGAACCCAGTTGTAAATTGAATGGCAGATATCTTTTCTGGGGATAATAATCCCTTCAAGATAAAAAATAAATTTAAAAATTCTAATAATTTGGTCACTCAATCCACAACTGTTTATTGGATACTGTTGTGCCCAATTGGCTACTGTGTTTCGCCCACAAAATATACAGTTAATTCACTTCACAGTATATTCTGAGTTGTCTCAACGATGTGATAAGGCGCAATATCAAATGCAAGGATTATTATTATATGATAATACTACAGCCAAATCCAGCAAATGTTTAAGTGTAACAAATTTTTCAATGCTGCTGAATTCCCATCGCTGGCTGTAATTAAAGCTCTGCGTTGTATTTGCTTAGTGATGTATGAGCAGTGCCTGTGTGCTCATATTACGAGGTCTCCAAAGAGCTGAGTTGTGGCACTCTACTGCAGTGCTAGGTTTGCTGCACTGTCAGAGGTGGTGTTCTTTAGATGACAAGTTAAAACAAGGTCCCGTCGGCCTGTTCAGGTGGACTCTAATAATAATAATAATAATAATCCTTGCATTTGCTATAGCGCTTTTCACGTCGGGAGGACGTCCCAAAGCGCTTCACAGAACACACTGTAAAATGAATTGACTGTATATTTGTGGGCGAACGCGGCAGCCAATTGCGCACAGCAATGTCCCACAAACAGTCGTAGATTGAAAATTACCAATTTATTATTGTTTTGGGTTTTGGAGGGATTATTATTAGGTGTGTGGAGTAAGGAAACTTGCCCAAGGTTTCGCCCTCTGCCTGGAATTGAACTCAGGTCTCTCACTTGCAAAGCGAGTGCTCTAACCACTAACCACTGAGCTACAGGACTCCACGAGCTACAGACTCTATAGATTCTGTGGCACTATTCCCAAAAGAGAGAAGGGAGTTTCTCCCGTTTTCATTGAATGCAAACTGAACATTGAAATGATCAGTTTGCATTTTGGTTCAGGCGCTGGGTTTCAGAGGCTTAGAATTGTTCATGCTTTTAGCTTTATGACAATTGAGGTGCAGAATTTTGGAGCATTGGCTTCAATATGAATCTCCTTGATCAACCTTTTCTAAAAAAAAGGTTTCCTGCTTGCAACCCATGATACTAAAAAAAATATACATCTTAATGTGTAAATTAGCTTCTGAGTTCGCCCAGAAAACTTTACAGTATATAGATAATTATTTGGGGAGGACAAATTTGCAGGGCTATGGGGAGAGAGCGGGGGATGGGATTGATTTGGATAGATCTTTTCAAAGAACCGGCACAGATATGATGGGCCGAATGGCCTCCTTCTGTGCTGTATAATTCTATAATTCTATGACCGGTTTATCTCCGCTGGCTGATTAGTGAATCATGAGAGGGGAACAGATTTCACGATGATCACATAGAGAATTAAAGGGGATCCTACGAAACACTTTGAGATGTCCTCTGGATGTGCAAGACGCTATACCAAATATAAGCATGATTATTATTAATAATAATTATTATTTCTAGTACTAATAATCCTTGCAGTTGATAATAGCACCTTAATGTCTCGCAGAATTTTTACTGTAAAGTGGAGTGACTGTTATAGTAGAGAATCAAACCAACTTAAATGGTTGCTGTTTAACCTATAGAAAATGGTTCCCTTAAAATTGAATTATTGCAGTTTTCATGTATGGAATAGACATAGGGATTTGTCTCTTGTTTCTGATGTATCCTTTTCTCTGTCCCCAAGGGTGTTTGGAATGTTCGACAATATCGACGACAGGGCAACCGTTTACGCATGGTTTATGTTTTCACATTGGCTGGTCTATGCCAACAGTGCAGCGAATCCCATTATTTACAATTTCCTGAGTGGTAAGTTGCCAGATTTAAACATGCATTGGCTCGGGCTTTCCATGGGAAACTTCATCTAAAGTCCATTGACAAGGCAAAAGCACCACAGAGAATCGTTAAGATAAATAGTAACAATTTCAAGCAGGAACAGATTATTTATCTTACCCACCGAGTTTCCTTGAATCCAATGTACCACAAATGTAAGGTAAGCAGTGGTTTGATATATCTGGGACACAGCAGAATATTTTGGTAACGTAAGTGAGACAGAGGATGTTAACGCTAATAAAATATATTGACTTAAATCGTCATTAAATTCAATTGTATTTAATTTATATGAAATTGTTGACTTCTAAATCTTTTTGTATTTTTGGACACTGAGATAAACAAGCTCCCAGAGACTGGATGATCTGTTTAATAAACCTTAATATAGCAATGTGTATGATACAGAAAGCCGTAGTTACCAATCTGGGGAACAGAGAAAGTAGTCACAGGAGTTTCTCCTTTATCTTTTCTTCTTTATTCTTTTCTTCATTCCTTTTTTTGTATTCTTCTTTCCCAGAGTTTTTCCAACTAGGTAATGCCATATCTGGTTAGGCTGCAGGATACCCTTTTCTTGTTTTTAATCCTCGTCTAACGAAAGACCATGTCATTTGAACATTCTGGAAAGCCACCTAATTGTCACATACAAACACCACTTCTTTGTCTTAATTCTTACATAACACATCGACCTTCCCAACTCTTCCCCTCACAAGCTGCAGATCATCCAAAACTCTGCAGCTTGTGTACTCTCACGCACCAGCCTCCGTGACCCCATCACTCCCACCCTCACCCGTCTGCACTGGCTCCCCATCCCCCAGAGGATCGAGTTCAAGATCCTCGTCCTCAGCTTTAAGGCCATCCATGGTCTTGCCCCCTTCTACCTCTCTGACCTGCTGATTCCCTACCAACCTGCCCGCTCCCTCCGTTCAGCGGGCACCGGCCTGCTTCATGTCTCCCGCCCGACCCGCCATACCATCGGTGGCCGGGCTTTCAGCCTCTCTGCCCCCACACTCTGGAACTCCATCCCACGGTCCCTTCGCCTCGCTTCCTCCCTTGCCTCCTTCAAGGTCGGTCTCAAGACCCTTCTCTTCGATCATGCCTTCGGTCGCCTCCCACCTCTCTGCCTTCCCTCACCCCTACACCACCCCTCCCCCATTCTCGGGCCCCGACAGCTGACTGTTCAGCGCTTTGGGACATCCTCCCGACATGAAAGACGCTCTATAAATGTAATTTTGTTGTTGTTGTTGTTGGACATTCCTTTACCCACATAACTATACCATATAAAACAAGAACATTACATAAAGGAAAGACAACATTATTCATTTCTAGCAAGTGAACAAGTTACACAATCAGTACAGTAATAATAATCCTTGCATTTGTGATAAAGCCTTATCACGTCTTCTAGACATCTCAAAGCGCTTCACAGAATATACTGTAAAGTGAGCGAAATGCGGCACCCAATTGTGCACAGCAGTATTCCACAAACAGTCGTGGATTGAAGTGACCAATTTATTGAATTGACCAATCATCAGCAAAACTTCACTTAAAGGTACAGAATTTTAAAATAAAACCAGTTCTTTCTCCCTTTTTCATTGAACCTGCTGATAATACGTACAGCAGTCATTTTATGTAGCAGTACAACAGTATAATAAAGACTTAACAAGGTTTCACCAATCAACAGTGTTAAAGTGATTACTAATAATAATCCTTGCATTTAATATGATGCCTTATCACGTTGTTGAGACATCTGAAAGAGCTTCGCAGAATATATTGTAAAGTGAACTGACTTTTGTGCATTTTGTCTTTATTTTTGTGGACAAAACAAACTATATACGTTTCAAGCTGGCAAAGCTTAGCAATAGTATCATTCAATTATACTAATAATAATCCTTGCATTTGATATAGCGCTTTTCATGTCGAGAGGACGTCCCAAAGCGCTTCACAGAACACACTGTAAAGTGAATTGACTGCATATTTGTGGGCGAACGTGGCAGCCAATTGCGCACAAACAGTCGTAGATTGAAAATGACCAATTTATTATTGTTTTTGGTTTTGGAGGGATTATTATTAGGCGTGTGGAATAAGGAAACTTGCCCAAGGTTTCGCCCTGCCTGGAATTCTTATGTCAAGAACAACTCACCCTTAATGCTTCAAGTATACTCGTAAAGTGCCCGCTAATTCCGGACTTACCAACAAGTGGAAACAAGCACGAGACGAGCTGTGAACAATCATTGTGCTCTCAGTCCTATTACTTCCTACCATTCGTCACTGTTTGCATGCACTGCACAACCCTGAGGCACTTTTTGAGCCAAATCAAAGTGCCCTTCACTTTCTGATGTCTCCAACGTGTGTGAGTCATGCCATCAGCCTATCTAGGCCAGAGTGCAATCTGTCCTGAATTTTAAAATAAAACCAGTTCTTTCTCCCTTCTTCATTGAACCTGCTGATAATACGTCTCATATTCTTTATTATTATGATTTATTGAATGGCGGATGTTGAATGTGATACCACCCTTTGAACCTAGTCTGAGAGCACTGTGTTATATAAAAACCAATACAATACAAAATGACATTTGGATAGCGCCTTTCAGGTCAGGAGGATCTCCCAGGGTGCTGACTCAAACAGACTCAAGCTATATTGAAGCGCATATGAAAGAGTCTGACTGTATTCCATTGTGGATCAATTGCAGTTGGATCACTGTGAGAGTTACATAGATTTATGAGGTAGAAATCTTAAAATGCGGTATGAGAAAAATTACCAAAAATTTGCATTTGAGCTAATGTCTTTCACTTCAGGAGGATGTCTCAAAACCCTTCATAGGATTTATCTTCAAGTGCAGTGACTGTATATTTTGTGGGTGAATGCGGCAGCCAATTTTACACAGTAATGTTGTATAGGAGTTTGAAGCCCTGATGTGGGGCTTGAACCCACAACCTTCTGACTCAGAGGTGAGAGTGCTACCAACTGAGCCAGGCTAGCACATAAGATGTGATAGTTATCTTCGACCCATCTCACCTCCTTCCCCCATTAATTGATACAGGTTTAGAAACATTTAGACGGAATATTCTCTTCAAACAATTTCTCAAAACTAAAATAGGATGCAGTGTTATTCCTTGTGGTTTTTTTTGCTCTCGCTCTAACTGGTTCGAAGCTGCTGCTTATTTCTTTTACTGCCTTGCCTGCGATCTTCCCTTCACAATGAGTGGTCCAACTCCTCCCTAATGTTCAGTCAAGCTGAACGGCTGCAGTTAAATGGATTAACTTTGATGTTTAAAACATTTTTAGATGTTTTAACATCTAAACGAATCTAAACTAAATTACTTCTTTTTAGATTTTTTTTAACATCTAAAAAGAAGTAATTTGCGGGAGAATTGTGTCCAGTTTTGCTCACTCCACTTTAGAAAGGACATCAGATGACATTGAAAAGGATGATTCAGTGGAGATTTACTGGAATGATTCCAAGGATGAGTGGTTTGAACTATGAACAAAGACTGAACCGGGCCTATTTTCATTAGAACAGAAAAGGTTGAGGAGAAACCTAATGGAGAGGTCTTTAAAATAATAGAGGTTGAAGAGAAGTTAGGGGAAAATTATTTCCACTGGTTGATGGGTTAGGCTTATCACCGGTGGGCCTTCAGCCTTTCTGCTCCCACTGTCTGCTCCATCCCTTCACCTCACCACCTTCAAGGTCCATCTCAAACCTTCCCACCCCACTCCCCTTGCCCCTCACCCCTCCCGAATCCAACACCCTCTCGGGTGAAATTCTGGTCTGTCCAGTGCTTTGGGACGTGTTCCCAACAGGAAAGTCGCTGTACAGTATTATACATGCAATTTGTTATTGTTGTTAGTAATGAAAAGACATAAGTTTAAGTTCGAAAATGAGCAAAGGGAGAGATTAGGAGGATTTTAAAATTTCAAAAGGAATACTATGCAGGAGTATGGGCGAAAAGTCAGGTGCAGAGGAGATTCACGAGGGTGCAGAGGAGATTCACGAGAATGATACCAGGAATGGGGAACCTTAGCTATGAGGACAGGCTGGAGAAGTTAGGACTTTTTTCATTAGAGCAGAGAAGGTTACGCGGGGACCTGATAGAGGTCTTCAAGATCATGAAAGGATTCGACAGGCGAGATAAGGAAAAGCTGTTTCCACTGGTAGCTGTTTCCATTGGTAGATAACTTAAGATAGTGACTGTGGTATCTTAAGATATCTACCAAAAGAAGCAGAGGGGAGTTTAGAAGAAATGTTTTCACTCAGCGAGTTGTTCGAATTTGGAATGATCTGCCTGAAAAGGCAGTGAAGTCCGATTCGATAACAGCTTTTAAGAGAGAACTGGATAGGTATCTGGGGAAGACAGGTTTGCAGGGTTATGGGGAGAAAGCTGGTGATTGGGGTTAGTGAAAGTGACTTGCTCTGTCAAAGAGCCGGCATAGACTCGATGGGCCAAATGGCCTCCTTCTGTGCCATAACATTCTATGAATCTATGAAAAAAAATGGGAATCAAAGGGTTCTTTCAAAGACCGATACAAATGCGATCCGCTAATTGGCCTGTGCTTGACATTTCTGTTCTCTATGTATCTTTTTTGATTATATGATGAATTCCTTCAAGTCTTTTTAGAGCACAAAATAAATTACAACCGCCCCTTCATACCCTTAATTAAGCTTGTTTAACTCATTAAATAAAAACATTCTTGCAGTTGATATAGCGCCTTTCACTTCAGAAAGGACATCTCAAAGTGCTTTACTGAATTGTACTGTAAAGTATAGTGACTGTGTACTTTGTAGGTGAATGCAGCAGACAATTTGCATACAGCAATAATTAATTTTATTTGCTTTGCATAAGCCAGCGGAACCTTGTACTTGACATAATGTTTTATGATATTATCCAAGCCTACTCTCAGCACTAACAGAGATGTTCCGTTAGGGATTTGGTGAAATAGCATTAACCTACACAAGGGTTTTGAAGATGCAGAAAACCTGACTC